GCAAGACGATGTCTCTAACTCAATTTGTACTTCGTTATGAAAAAGTTTTGGAGCGTAGACGATGGTCAGAATTGCAAAAGGACTTTGAGTGCAATCAATCCGCACCTCCTAGAGTAAAAAAACTTGCAGGTATTAGAATCTTTATATGTGACAACTGAAAAAAATGAATGAAAATGGTATGGCTGAATTTTTTTTATTTTATTACAGGTATGGCTGAACAAGTTGCACGAGTATATACTCATGTTACTTTTGCAGAATTCTATGAAGAATTGTTTGAATATTTATGTGTGGCAATTGAAAAAATCAATGAAAATGACACTTGTTTTTGTTACAAGTTAGTTAAATCTGGTGATCAGAAGCAATATTTTGTGACATTTGAAAGTGCAAATTGCTCTATTGAATGTACTTGCAGAAAGTTTGAACCAGTTGGCCTCTTATGTCTTCAAGCACTGAAAGTACTTAACTTTCACAATATTTTTCAAATACCGTCTCAATATATCTTGAAGAGGTGGACAAAAAATGCTAAAGATGGTTTTAGTATAAGCAACAATGGCAAACAGGTTTGCAACAATGGTAAACAAGGAATAAATTCCCGTATGAGTCAAATAATGAAGAAAGCCATTTATTTTGCAACCAAAGGTGCATTGACAGATGAAACAATCAAAATGGCTGAAGATCACTTAGAGCATGGGATAAAAAGATTGGAATTGATTTTAAAAAATACTAGTGGTATGATTGATAAGACTGCAGTTGACTGTAAGACTAGTGATGAAGAGATAGATGAGCATAACACATTAAATTCAAAAAAAGTCTTAGATCCGCAACTTGTTCGAGCAAGGGGAGTTACAAATGCTAGACTCAAAAGTCAGCTGTAAAAGAAAAGGTGCAAGAGACATCAATCACAAGCTCTTGGTAAATCTCAAGATGCTAATACATCTAAATCTCTAAGACATAATCATGTTGATACAGGTACAATGAATCAATTAATTAGGATCATACTATTTATTTATTTATTTATACGTGATTTTATGATTATTGTTGTTATCTTCTTTTGTGACTTAGGAAAAGCTTCAAGTACGACAGCTAAAGATTCTAGCACCTCTTATATAGATCTATCAGCTTATGATTTTCCATATATCTCTCCATTGGCAAATGCTAATACAACTCCACCACCTTATTATTTTCCAAATGTCTCTCAAGTGACAAGTGTTAATACAACTGCTCCAGTTTTCTGTGTTCCATATATCTCTCAACTGCCATATACGCATGTATTATTATATAATAACATCTTATGATACTATTGTAGCTCCTGCAAATGATGACTGAAGATGTGCTTCATACTGGTTGTGATTTTATATCATAGAAGACTAACTTATTTCACTTTTTGGTTGCGAACTCATTTTTAGGATGAACATAACATAAGAGCTCATAGAAGTCCTGCAGGCTGACATGCAATATTTTAGAGGTGGTGGAAGCTGTCATGCAAGCTTTTTTGAATGGTAGGAGGTCATGCAAGTTGTCATGCAAGCTTTTTTTGAATGGTAGGATGTCTTGCAAGCTGTCATGGAAGTTTTTTTAGAATGGTATAAGGTTTAGCAAGCTGTCATGCAAGCTTTTTTGAATGGTAGGATGTCTTGCAAGCTGTCATGCAAGTATTTTTTGAATGGTCGGAGGTTTTGCAAGCTATCATGGAAGTTTTTTTGATTGGTAGATAGCTGTCATGCTAAACTGAACAGAGACAAGACATGATTTGTTTACATGTAAATGTTGCTAAAATGTCAGTTCATGCACATAACTTATACAGATAAATGATGACTAGAGATCTAGGAGATCTTTATTTATATATTTTTACATCTGCAAAAATGATATGACTGTGGGGTTGTCCAATTAAAATGAGGAATATCCCCAATTTCCCATATCCTTGGCTCCTTGGATACAAAATATTGGTTGGAAATTAAATTTAACAAAATTCATGTTGAATGGTGTCATATGCTGCATTTAAAAGGAAAATTCTAAGCTTCAATACTGTTACAAGATCCATTTATTGAACAATATGTCAAATGACATGTATTGTCTCCTTTGGAAGGTACCGTTCCTGCTCTCGGTTTAGGGAGACCGTACAGGAATACGTTTCTGAGTTCACCAGCGAGTTCGCTTCTTCTTCTTCTTATCTTGATTAACCAAAATTCATTCACTCGTTCGTGCTTTAATTGTGATTCGGTTGAATGAATTAATCTTCTTAATGTTTCGCAGGGCGAGCGATAAATGCCAGAAAGAAATTATATTTGAACATCAGCGGCGACGATTTACTTTGGGCTATGGCCACTCTTGGTTTCGAAGATTATATCGAACCTCTCAAGATCTACCTCGCCGCATACAGAGAGGTAATTTACATTTACATTTAATACAACATGCTGTTTTGGTTTGCTGCTGTTAAACTCTACTTTTCACTGATGTTTTTTTTTTCTTTTTCGTATGGATTTCTCGTTGGTCTATTGGGAATGTTGCAGATTGAGGTGATTATAAATAAATAGCTATTCCACTTTGTGATTGTTTGTGTGTAATGACACTTTTTCTAATGAGTTTTTATACATTATGGTTATGGCTTGTCAAATTGTGGTATGACAGGGTGATACCAAGGGTTCGGCCAAGGGTGGAGATGCATCTGCTAAGAAAGATGTTCATCCGTGTCCTAATCCTCAGGTGGAGAACATATATATATATATATATATATATATATATATATATATATATATATAGATATATATGAACTATGCCTGGTTGCATTGCTGTAAATATATTTAGAATACAATAGCATCTGATGTTGTAATATTTTGCTGTGGAATTGACAGTTTTCTCATCAAGGTTTCTTAGAGATTTCAGACCCCAACAATGATAAATTTTTGGACCTAACAATTCTTAATGGTGTGTTGCTGATTTTGATTGACATCAGCACTTCACTTTTGGTTGTGCATTTTGCCGTAATGATAAATGTTACTCCATATAGTGCATAGCAAAATCATGCCTTAATTCTAAACATTTCTGGTTGTAAATCCTTGGCTAGAGTAGTCTAACTGTCTTAAGCTCTAAGGCTATGTAATCCTCAAGATGTCTGATATACCTGAATGGCTACTTTGTAGTAATGACTTCAATTGCAAATATATTTGAATTGGTCAAACAAATGATACTTCCTTGTCTTCCAAGAATCAGACGGAAATATCACTGCATCTGTTTTGGAATTCCATATTGTACTGCCCTTTTTCTTTTCCATCATTGTGTTTTATTCCATTCTTATTATTGAATGAATACTCTTGTTGTCACTTTTTGGTTGCTGTGAGTTCTATATTATGGGTTGATCAACCTGACCATGTGTATATGATGGTGCATGTGCAACTGTTGGTTGGTTTGGCTCTTGCAGCAACTTGTTGGATGTTGATGTGAGCTTTAAAGTCAAATGTCCTTTATATGTTCTGCTTGTTCTAATTTTCTCCCTATTTTATATCAGATGAAAGATACTTGAATTTTCGTAGAGACTTGCTTTCCTTTGGAAAACTACAAAACTACAAGAATGATGGGATCATTCTACAATGCAGAAAAGATTTACCCACAAGTTCAAGATTTACATACAAGTTCAAGGAGATTGTAAATGTTGATCAGCCTACCACTAGCTATTGGAGCAGAATTTGTAGAATTTTTGTCTTGCTAGGTGTAGTATTTGGAGATTGATGTAAAAAAGAAGTTTTTCTTCCAAAAACATAATGTACCATTGTAATATGATTCAAAATCTTGTAACATTGTCCAATACATGTCATTTGACATATTGTTCAATAAATGGATCTTGTAACAGTATTGAAGCTTAGAATTTTCCTTTTAAATGCAGGATATGACACCATTCAACATGAATTTTGTTAAATTTAATTTCCAACCAATATTTTGTATCCAAGGAGCCAAGGATATGGGAAATTGGGGATATTCCTCATTTTAATTGGACAACCCCACAGTCATATCATTTTTGCAGATGTAAAAATATATAAATAAAGATCTCCTAGATCTCTAGTCATCATTTATCTGTATAAGTTATGTGCATGAACTGACATTTTAGCAACATTTACATATAAACAAATCATGTCTTGTCTCTGTTCAGTTTAGCATGACAGCTATCTACCAATCAAAAAAACTTCCATGATAGCTTGCAAAACCTCCGACCATTCAAAAAATACTTGCATGACAGCTTGCAAGACATCCTACCATTCAAAAAAGCTTGCATGACAGCTTGCTAAACCTTATACCATTCTAAAAAAACTTCCATGACAGCTTGCAAGACATCCTACCATTCAAAAAAAGCTTGCATGACAACTTGCATGACCTCCTACCATTCAAAAAAGCTTGCATGACAGCTTCCACCACCTCTAAAATATTGCATGTCAACCTCTATGCCTGCAGGACTTCTATGAGCTCTTATGTTATGTTCATCCTAAAAATGAGTTCGCAACCAAAAAGTGAAATAAGTTAGTCTTCTATGATATAAAATCACAACCAGTATGAAGCACATCTTCAGTCATCATTTGCAGGAGCTACAATAGTATCATAAGATGTTATTATATAATAATACATGCGTATATGGCAGTTGAGAGATATATGGAACACAGAAAACTGGAGCAGTTGTATTAACACTTGTCACTTGAGAGACATTTGGAAAATAATAAGGTGGTGGAGTTGTATTAGCATTTGCCAATGGAGAGATATATGGAAAATCATAAGCTGATAGATCTATATAAGAGGTGCTAGAATCTTTAGCTGTCGTACTTGAAGCTTTTCTAAGTCACAAAAGAAGATAACAACAATAATCATAAAATCACGTATAAATAAATAAATAGTATGATCCTAATTAATTGATTCATTGTACCTGTATCAACATGATTATGTCTTAGAGATTTAGATGTATTAGCATCTTGAGATTTACCAAGAGCTTGTGATTGATGTCTCTTGCACCTTTTCTTTTACAGCTGACTTTTGAGTCTAGCATTTGTAACTCCCCTTGCTCGAACAAGTTGCGGATCTAAGACTTTTTTTGAATTTAATGTGTTATGCTCATCTATCTCTTCATCACTAGTCTTACAGTCAACTGCAGTCTTATCAATCATACCACTAGTATTTTTTAAAATCAATTCCAATCTTTTTATCCCATGCTCTAAGTGATCTTCAGCCATTTTGATTGTTTCATCTGTCAATGCACCTTTGGTTGCAAAATAAATGGCTTTCTTCATTATTTGACTCATACGGGAATTTATTCCTTGTTTACCATTGTTGCAAACCTGTTTGCCATTGTTGCTTATACTAAAACCATCTTTAGCATTTTTTGTCCACCTCTTCAAGATATATTGAGACGGTATTTGAAAAATATTGTGAAAGTTAAGTACTTTCAGTGCTTGAAGACATAAGAGGCCAACTGGTTCAAACTTTCTGCAAGTACATTCAATAGAGCAATTTGCACTTTCAAATGTCACAAAATATTGCTTCTGATCACCAGATTTAACTAACTTGTAACAAAAACAAGTGTCATTTTCATTGATTTTTTCAATTGCCACACATAAATATTCAAACAATTCTTCATAGAATTCTGCAAAAGTAACATGAGTATATACTCGTGCAACTTGTTCAGCCATACCTGTAATAAAATAAAAAAAATTCAGCCATACCATTTTCATTCATTTTTTTCAGTTGTCACATATAAAGATTCTAATACCTGCAAGTTTTTTTACTCTAGGAGGTGCGGATTGATTGCACTCAAAGTCCTTTTGCAATTCTGACCATCGTCTACGCTCCAAAACTTTTTCATAACGAAGTACAAATTGAGTTAGAGACATCGTCTTGCAAGTGACAGTACGAAAAACATTATTCATACTCCTCACTTCTTTGTGTTGATAAGATGCCAGCTGAGAAATAATTCTTACTAAATGCCGGACACCAATTTGCTCGTAACTCATAAATTTTTTTCAACCATGAGCATTTTGAATTATCAACTTTTGTGACTAGATGAGACCAAACCTCTTCAAACTCCTGCTCTGATCCACAATTGTAGAGACACCTATTAAATAGAACCTTAAAATCAGATTTTCTCAAGTAATAAGAAAGATGCTTAGCAGCATTTTGACCAATATGCCACAAGCAAAGTCGATGTTGAGAGTCAGGAAGAACTCTTTTAATAGCATTCGCCATTGCTTGACACAGATCAGTGAAAATTGTTTTAGGTTGCAACCCATTCATTGCTTCCAAAAATGATTCAAATAGCCAAACGAAAGACTCTGTTGTCTCGTTCAATAAGAAAGTGCAGCCAAACAAAATACTTTGTTTATGATGATTTACCCCTATGAAAGGTGCACATGCCATATTATACTTGTTTGTTCTATAGGTTGTGTCAAAAATTACCACATCTCCAAAGTGATTATAATCTGTCCTTGATATGCCATCACTCCAAAAAAAATTACTCATGCGATTTTCACAATCCACTTGCATTGTATAGAGGAAGGATGAGTCATTTGCTTGAAGACTTTTAAAATGGTTAATAACACTTTGTGCATCTCCTGCTTCAAGGGTCTTGTTTCTTTTACTTTGTAAAAAATTATTACAATCAGATTTTAAAAATCCAACATTTTCAACTCCTCCGGCAGCTTCAACAAAATATGAATACACACTACATGGTTTTAATCCAGCATTGTCCATATCTTCAATCATGTTAGCATGTGCTTCATCCAATTGCCTTTGTGACCTTAACATAGCTCGTGCACATGATTTCACAAGATCATGATTATGATCTGCAATGAACTTAGAAACAATCCAAGTATCCTTCTCAATGTTAAAACGTATCATAGCTTGACAATTCTTTTCTATTTTTCTTGTTAACATGTGAAGGGTCCTTCACTTTTCTATATCCTTCTTTCCCACAAACATATGTTCTCTGACTTATGGTTCCATCTGCCAATCTTCGATATTTTGATTTTCTCACAGTAAAACCAACCAATTTAGCATATCCATTATAAAACTTATAAGCTTCATCTTCGTTGGAGAACATGATTCCAATTTTTGGTTCATATCCATCTTGATCCTTACTCACAACCACTGACATCTCTCTTTGTTCATCACCATATTCACTGTCAGAACTAAATGAAGACAACTTTGAATATATAAAATTATCCATTTCTTTTTCAGAAGTGCCTGTTTCCTCCATCTACAGAAATCCTACAAAAACATCACCATTTTACATAGTATAGATGACCAGAAAAGTCAAACTTAGGGTGAAAAATCGTTTAAACAAACAAGCATATTATAAAAATAAAAATCTAATTTAAATCAAAATTCCTCACCAAAGTTTGAACAACTCAAGCTAGTATAGGAATATAGCATTGAGAGGAACAACAGCTAACAGAATATATGAGTACCTATGCACTTCACATACAAACCTGCAGCACAAGGAGTCCCTAGCATTGTAAAACATTTCAGGCAAATAAACTGATGGCAATTAACTCCATACAAAACCCAAACAGTATACTTACAATTCCTGTATCATAACTTCATATCGGAAAGGCATTCCATAATAGAAATAAATTACAAGCATAAAAACAAGGAAAAGAATATAGAATGCTCGAATAGTCAGAACCTTAGCTTTATTGATGATAAATTTACAATATATATGGAAATTAAATTGGAAATAACAAAAGTTATTGCATAATCAAACAAGGAAAACAGTGATGCCATGAAAGATGCATAAGGTTAGCTTAAAATAAAAGATTACCATCCGAGAAAAGAGTTAGCTTAAAATAAAAACCAAAGGCTAAAACAACAAATGCTGCTATTTGTTTTTAATGATGAATTGAAAACCAAACTTTAAGTTCTGTAAAGCAAGGTTCATCCTATATAAAAGAAATCATAAAAAATGAATCTGACAAAGTTAACATGTAATTTGTGATAACTCACAGTTAGCTATTTTAATCACTGGTTAAATATTGATCGTAGATATGTTGTTCATAATCCAATATGAAGCACCAAAGTACAAAGGAGTTGAAAGGTAATGATTACCGGGCACAAAGGAAGACCCACAGGACTAAGGTTCACATTCGCTCTTGATGCACCAAAGTGGTAAATCGATAGCGGTAAATGCTGTGAGAAATGAGAAAAAAAAATTCCAACTAACAAGGATCACACTCACCTCTTACTCTTTGAAAGCTTTGGAAGTGAATAGAAAACAATGAGAGAGATGAGAAAGAAATCGAAAGCTTCATTTACAGAGTAATAGATGTGAGGCGGGAGTGAAAAATAGAAAGAAAAGGAGGGAAATGAAATAAAAAATTAAAAAACAAGCCACTATAGTGACGTGGATAAATGAATCTATGTGTAAGCTTTTTATTGGATGGACCATAGAAAGTTATATGTACCGGGACCGCTTAAAATTTTCTCCGATATCGGATGCGGTTTTTTTAATACCTTTTTTTTACTCGAAATAGAGATCATCAGTTGAGTCCTTTCTTGTATAAAAACTACATAAGTATATTTGGATTATAATATAGTAATTAATTTGAAATATAATAACGTTCTTAAAATTGATGGTAAAATAATGTGTGTTGAAATATTTTAGATATTTTTATTAATAGTATTTCAAAGGTGATTTTAATAAAATAATTTAGTTTGGATGATATAAACTAGCAATACTTTTAGACATAATTTTAATATAAAGGATATGAAAGAAATAATCATACAACACAACGAATAAAAAGAATTAAATAAAGGGGCATGATAAAAATATTTTAGCATTTGAATAGAAAAGCTAGTGATGAGGGGTGATGAGAGAATCAATTATTTTTCTCCCTTATTTCGTTCAAAAGAAGTAAAAATGTAAGCCATTATAAATTGATTAGTGATAAGGGGTGATTTGAATGAGGTTGAAATTTTAAAATTAAATTTGGTATAGTGATGAGAGATTTAGGTATGTTATATTAAGTTATTTGTTCAATTCCTATTTGTATAAAAAAAATAAACCTTAATGTTATCATTGTAAAAAACGTGAAAATGAAATATAAAAAAAAAAAAAAAACATTGAACTTGTTTTCGACGAAGTTAAGCATGCATATAACTTATTGTGACGATAAAACAAAATAGTTGTTAGAGTTTTGCTACATGTCCAAGACTCCAAATCTCGTGTTGGCTTACGAGTTATATAATAAAGGATAGCTTGGTTAGTTTATAGACATTTATGCGTGGGATCAACAACTCACTCAATGACTCATATATAAGGCTTATTTACCATATAGCCCAATAAAAGGTAATTCAAACATAATCTTAAATAATCAAAGGATATACATAAAAGATATCAATCTTAATACGACAATATTAAACATAGGTTTGGGCTGCTAGAAGAAGCACAAAAGGTCCAAAATTCTAATACCCACATGTAGACTCCATAAATAAGAGGTAAAGCCTATAGGTATGATATTCTCTCTATTACTGTTATGTTGTCACTGTGCACACACACCACCACATTGACAAAGTCATTCTTTATTCTCAGTGCTCACTAATATGTTAAACTCAAAGGTACTAATCCATAGATACCTTAGGGAGAGCATCTAGATCCAAGCTCACTAATATGTGGAGGTGGATCAACCGCAAAATCAGCTTGAGCAGAGGCTGATTATGACGTTGTTCATGTAAGTGAAGATGTTTCGGATACAAATTCTACACCCGCTCCTGTAGATAATTCTCAGAATTAGATAATAGCTCCTCAGCATCAACCTGCAGACGAGACTGCTCACGTTGCGCTTGTAGTAGATCTAGATACTCGCCTTGCACAGACCGCGTTTACTGCGATCATAAAGCGGATGGAGGAAGTGGAACAACGTAACAATCTTCAACGACAAGAAGATGTCATAAGGTTTTAGGAGATGGAAGAGCGTCTGATGCAGATAAGGAATATAGAACGAACTGGAGGCCAGATCCGACATGACAAAAATCGTGGAAGAGAAAGATCAGGGAGGTTCACGAACTGAGGAATACAGATGCTCAGATCTGAGTTAATACAGATTACAACCCGGATACTCTAATCCAGGGTGGAATTACTGAAGGACAAGGTGTGGTTAACACTGGTGGGATTTCAAATCCTAATAATCAGGTCCGAGTTGAGAACAATGAAGGTCGCAACTCAGATAATAATCACAATGTGAATATGATAGTTCCTACCCTGAATGCTGGATTAGGAAGGAATAAGGAGCATAATCGGGGTGATATGTATCACAACCGGGATATCCAGTTTCAATATAACCAGGAACAAATTCAAGGTCGTGTTGAAGCTGGTGCGTATAGGAAGAAATATAGTAAGGGACAATACGATAATAGTCCCTTTACTAGTGAGATTCTTAGTGCTCCATTCCCAGAGGATTTTGACTCGGCACACTTGCCAAGATATGATGGAAGCCAGGATCCACAAGTCTATATTAATGCCTTTGACACTTATATGTACATCAGAGGGATTGATGAGCCAATCATTTCCCGGATATTTGTCACAACTCTTACTGAAGCTGCACAAACATGGTTCTCAACTCTGTTTACAAATTCAATTGGATCTTTTGAAGATTTTGGAGAGAAGTTCTTTTTGAACTTTACGACAAGCAAAAAGCATCCAAAGTATGAGTTTGCAGTTGGAAAAATTCGGCAGCAACCTGGAGAGACTCTCCAAAATATTTGGACCGTTTTAAAGATACAGCATTACAAGTTCCGGGTTTGCAAGAAAATATTCATGTACATTTGATTGTAGTCGGCTTGGACGGTGCATCTCGTTTAGCAAAATCATAATATAAAGATACAGTGAGAACACTAGAAG